AATTCTATTACTGCTGCTATTAATATTCCTATATCCTATATTTAATCCATTAATCAAAAACCCTGGTACAGGGATTATTACACCTATTTCATTGTATGTGACATCAACTAGTTACCATTTTTGAAATAATTTCAAACAATATAAATTGAATTCTAAGTACTAAGTATTACTAAGAGCAATGCTCTCAATCACACTCCACAGTTACACACATTCACACAGTCACAAGCCTGTTCCTCCTCCTCATCTACACTATATCTACACCATGTGATTTACAGTACATGTCGATCTTCACTACCACAGTCTCCACTTACTGGTAGGCTGCAGTTCTGATGTATGTAATAACTTATTGCTACAGTATATGTGATTCAGTGCAAGCAGGCAGCCGGCATACGGCTACATCTGCTCTTATCGTGGTAATGGTCGCCTCGCCATATTCACGGCCGTGGTCTTTAATAGTGGGACGAGGGGACAGTCATCTGGCATGTGTCGACAGGAGTCAGCATCAGCCAATGAAAAGGCCATCTGAGGGGAATTAGCATATTGGCATCAGGCCTGGAGACAGAGAGAAGCTGTCAGGGGAGAGAGTCCTAACGACAGGTCACTCTGGACCACTGCACATTACTATAACTCTTCTCTCTCTTCCCATACCTATCCTCTTTCTCTCATTTCACTTTTTTCTCTCCCTCTGTCCCTTTCTATTACTTACTGATGTTTTTTTCTCATTATTTTTCACCGTTTGTTCCTGTTTTGTTTCACTCTTTTCTACTTATTCTTCATAACTGTTCTCATCTCCCCTTACCTTCTGCTACCCATTTCTCTCTGACAGTCTCCTTCCCCTCTCCCTCTTTCTCCTTAATAATTAGACAATGATTCACAGATCTGGGGTCAAATTTTATCAGCGCCCCCTGACTGAAGTGTATTGTCTCTGCGCCGTCCTCGAAGTAAGGTCTTCTGACGCAGCTCATATCATCTTCAATCTGCCATCTATCTTTATTAGCCCAAATTATTACACCTTGTTAGCCATTATTACATTTTATTATCAATTCAAAACAGGTCAATGGTTCAGCCGTTCTGGCCTCCTTCCCACTGTTTCTCCTCTCCGACTTCCCCACTTTCTCACTTTCTGTTAAGAGTTCAGACAAAGAAGTTCTCTGGCCAAAAAACTTCAACAATTCCATAAGAGGTTATTAAGTGCTTTGCAAGAAAGTGAGTGCCCATATAGGCTCATTTGACTCCTCACTAATAGAGATTAAAGTAAAGTGGAAATTAACAAAGTGTATCATCAGCTCTTCCCCTCCTCAGAGTTTGTACTTGGAATTTTAAATCTCATCACACAATGTCAAAACATAATAATTGGCAGTTTTACAGAGACAACTTTACAACAAAGGTTTGGCTTACTAAAACTGCCTTGGATCTAGGCAGGACCTGTTTGGTTACATGGAGGTACATAATGACAATGTGTGCAAAATGCAATCAGACTTTTTCTCCTATGGCCCCTATGAAATCGCTGAAATCATTCAATTGTTCTGACACATTTCTATATAAGCGTATATGTCAAAACTTAATAGTCTTTCTTTGAATACTTGTGTAATGTTGTTGCATTATAAATACAGGTCTCATTACATCTACGATAATGATTTTTTTGTTCAGTACTATACTATTTTTATATTATGCATGATTAGTTATTTTGCCTAAATTACTGTACGTGCATGATTAAACCTACAGGTGTAAGAGAAAAAGACAGTTTCAAATGGCAAACTGACAATTTAGCAGCATCTACAACAAGCATGAAACTGATTTATTCTTTGAAACTGGAGCTAGAGACACTTTAAACAAAGACTAACCACACAGAATCAACAGACTTGTTTGACAGATCTTTGATCATCAGGCACCAGTGGTCCTTCCTGTCCCATTCATTATACTGAACTGAATCACCGTCAGGTTTGAAAGAATCAGCTTCCATGAAAACAGAGTTGAAGTTTCCATTATACCTTCTTTGTGATGAAGGAAGGCTAAAAGGTCACTTTTAGCTCTGGGCAGGTGGCTAGAAGGATGAAGTTACAGCCTCCAGCAGGGGGAGATATGTAATACATCAACTATACACAAATGCAGAGGTCAAGTGTGTTTTGCTTTCCTCCGTCCTTATTGGCTTAATGAAAACCATAACAGCCACAAGTCAGTTGGTCTGCTCATTTAAAGTTATTCTAAATGAAGGAACTAAAGCCTAGACTGTACATTTGGGTTTGAGTAATGTTTTCATGATGCCTCAAAGTGTGTGTGAAAAGCCTGTAGCTTGATTTGAGTAAGGCACAGAGAAGTACTGCTTTGTTGCATATGTGAGTAGCACAGAAGAAGGAAATTGTTTAGCATGTACTGTAGCTCTATAGTGAGAGGGTATTGCAGTTTTACAGTAACACAATTAGCACACACATATACTGTATTGTGGACCATACCATTAACACATTTCATGTTGTTTTCACAGAATATGCAAAAATGCAATGAACAAAATGCAAAAATGCTTAAATTTCTTTAAAACATTTTTTAAAAAGTTGCTGTGCTATGGTTAGCTATATGTTCCTCTCGGAAAAAACACGTTTGAAATGTATGTTTGAAATAATCATTTCATATTGAGTTAGAGTATGTAGAGAAAGGTTTATTTTGCATTTTTAAATGTAGAATTTGTATTTATTGAAGAAAATGTATTGAAAAAAACGTCTACAGCCACTATCTGTCAGCTGATATTTGCCTTATTTAGACCATTATTGTAGAGAAGTCCTTCAAAAGCCTTCACAACACCAGTTAGGCTGAATAAAATACAAAGGGGATTTTTTAAGACCTTTAAAGCATTTTGGTGGATTAGTTAACATAGTGTTCTACACAATGAATTACCAAATGAAGCCCACAAAATAAAATAAAAAAGAATCATTATTTTAAAAAGGCAGAGCTCCAGAACAAAAAGGTTTTAACACTAATGCACTTGACAGCAGTTAGAGCATTTGGCAACAATGCACTGTTCTCTCGTTAGCGTTAATTGCAGCAGTGACAGCGGTTAAAGGCAAGGTCCTCCTCTGACTCCCAATCATTTATCTCTCAATTACAGAGAGCACTCGGGTTTTTATTGGTGTAATAAAGTCCATCTTCACTACCACAAAAAGCCTCCTGACCCCTGGGTGCTCCAGAGGCCCCTGACTCCTCCCGAATGGATTCATCATCTTCATATTCATTCTCTGTCACACACACACACACACACACACACACACACTGCATGCAAGCAGATGGGCACACACACAAGCATGTTGTTTAATTAGAAAAATAAGAGAGGATCATTTTAATGAAGCAAGGGACAGGTGTCTTTAGTGTGTGTGTTTGAGTGTGTGCTTGTCTGTGCGGATAAATTTGACTAACCTTTGGATTTCCATTTCTTTTTAAATATTTCTTTTTGGATGTTATATGCTATACAGAAATATTAACTATATCCCACTAATGTCTTAAACAAGATGAACGGACGTTTGAGGTTGCAGAACGGTAAAACTAAATCATGTACGCCCTCTTGTGGTTGAAGAACTCACATTGTTCAAAGGGCCTTCCAGTTCAGCAACCAGGACTCATTTGTGTACACAGTACAAGATGCTACAGTTTAAGGGTGAGGAGGATCAATTCTGTAGATACAGAATACTGTCTTTGAAATTCATATGTTGAGTTGGCATTTACTGTTACAAGTATTAAAAATTAAAATCAATAAAGGCTGTCAAACTAATAGATGTTGTATGTTACGTAAAAAACCATTTGTTAAGCTAACTATAAACAGTATTGTCTCGCTGATATGAAGCTATCTTTTCCTTTTACGCATCAATGCAAAATCACAAATTCCCTTGTTTACGTGAAAATAAAAATGCGATATTAAAAAAGTGATTTTTGCGTTTATCAGCATCCATTCACATTTTGACTACTGTGTTTGACCTAGATAAGAATACATATGAGTCAGTTGTGTGTCTGGACTGCCAGCTGTCTAAAGGTCAGTGGGTCTTTGAGGTGGTGGGTGCTGTCTGTAGGCCTGGGGTGCTCCTGTCTTTGAATTGTCTTTGATCAAGAGGTCAGCTATCTCAAAAGCAGATTATGTCATCAGGACCACTAGAACACACACTTCAATGTTTTGTTATAGGTTTTAATCTGAATTTAATTCTATTGAACACTTTATTATTACAAAGTTCAATTAGTCTTAGAAATAAGGTTTGCCTGAGAGTGTGAGGTCATATATCATTTATTAGTATTGTGAATATAAAACTTGAATATTAACTCTTAAACTAAAATAAAATTTAAATTAATTAATTAAATTAAACTCTTCAATATTTTACCTCAGATATCAAAATGTTTTCAAAGTTATCATTTCTATATATTTAAATTGAATTTAAAATGTGTATGCTGTATGATAAAGTGGAATTTAGAGCATCGCATTTAATACTTTGCTACTATAGCTTCCTTTATTTACAGTACAATAGAAAGGCACAGTTCAGTGTTGACAAAAATTGTCTCACCTAACTGAAAAGCTGATATCACATCCATGTAGCATAACTAAATGCACACCGATGCACCTGATTCTGATTACCACCCACCCAGTCTCCAACAGACACTCCAGACTGTCCTATGGGTGCTCTTATTGTGTGTATGTGCGTGTACAGCCTGTTTTCTGACGCAGGCGGGGGCGACAGACGAGTGACGCAGAGCCTCACACTCACCTTTAAAATCTGTCATTGGCACATCCGTCACACTTACACAGATCTTTCTTCGGCGGTGGACACATCAAGACCTCAATAGGTGAGAAGAAAATATTTGTCATTTCACAATTTGTGAACAAACTAGTTCTGAAAAGTGTGTTTCATGAATTGTTTGTTTGATTTACCTAAATTATATTTTTTATTCTTGTTGCCAAAGGAAAAAAAGTTGGGATTTGTGTGCAAACAGTTTACGCTCACATCGTATTAAACCATCAGAAAATAACTATGTGGGTCTTTGGGAAGATCAGGGAGAGCATGGAGAGCATTCCTCTAGAGCTGAGTCGTTACATCAGGAAGAGTGAGGAGGATATCTTTCTCTCCTCTAAGGCCAGTCTCTCTCACAAGTTGCACAACAACATCCTCACCCCAGACAAGATCCCAGAGTTTTGTTTGCCTCCGCGACTTTGCAAGAGAAGCCCGCTGCTGGAAGCTGAGACAACGGCACCGAACTTGGACGGTCAGAACCGGATAACCAACAGCAGCACTTCTTCAAGCACTACACGTGTAAAGACAACGGATGTGAAGACGAAGAATGGTGATGCATCAGTGGCTTGTAAGGTTACAAAGAAACCTTTGCCGTTCTCTGCAGAGGGGTACGGCCTGACTGGGATATATGAGAGCCCCAACACTCGAAGGAAAGAGTCTTTGTTTCACTCAAAGTGCCCTGTTTACATGTTTGATAGAAGCATTCCTACTGCAGCACGCAGGCTGGCAAAGGAGACAAACCCACCCAAGAAAACTTTATCTGGATATCTTCCTCTGTTTTTGTCCAAGAGTCTGTCAGAGACTGGAAGCACAGAAAGTGAAACACCATCTTCCAGTGACTCTTCTCCCATCAGTTCCCCTTATAGCGCTAAATCCTCCCTTTACATCCCATCGGGCAGTGGCCGTCTTAAGGGAGCAACATCCTGTCCTTCGTTAACTGACAGCATGGAGGACAGAGGGAGGTGGTCGAGGGGGGGATTCAGTTCAACAACCTCTCCCAGTAGCCCTCCAAGCTTAGAGGGAAGCTCACTCACCTTAGCCCCACCTGTCCTCTTCCCCCTGGATGTTCTGCAGTGTCAGGAGCGGTTTCCTCGTGAGCACGTCCTCCCTTTGCTGGGCCGTGGTAAAGTGCGCCTCTTCGCTCAGCACACCACATTCTCCACCAACACATTCTCATCATTTTCCACAGTCAGAGTCCGTGTGGTGTCTGTGGAGGGCCTGTGGAACGATACTGACCGACGAACCCTGAACTGTGCAGTGAATCTGTGTCTGACCCCGGGGAAGCTGCAGCAACAGGTGAGCGCCACCATCAGGAACTGCCGCAGCCCTGTGTTTAATGAAGATTTCTTCTTTACAGAGCTCAGTAGAGAGGATCTGCTGGACCTGCAGCTCAGGATAAAAGTGGTGGATAAACCTGCAGCTGGAACATTGAGAAGAGGGACAGTGATTGGGGTGATCACCAAACCACTGTCTCAGTTACTCCCTCTTAAAAAACGGGTAGAGGAATAACTCATTTTGTGGGAAGAGAGCCAGTAATATGGTACAATTATTACAATATGTACAAAAGAAAGGGAGGGGTGCAATAAATGATTGTGTATGCTATATGTGCATTTGGCAGCTGCTATGTAAAGTTTTCCCACATGGTAAGAAGCAACAAGGAACAATATTTCAATATATGTACAAAATATACAACTGTAGTTATTGGGTACTAATCATTTAATTGTATTTTTGGTATTCCATCTTGAGTATATCAACCACCAACCACTGTGGTGTGATTTGTTTCATGTTTTTTCAGACAAAACCATACAGATGTTCTGGATGTCAGATTATAGATATTTAATTGTTATTTGGTCGCAACAATGAATAGATAGATGATCCGGTGAGCTTTGACTATGTTTTTTGGATCAGAAATGTTTTTTGTGGGTGTAATAGCAAACTGAAAAACAATGAACTGAAAAAAAAAATGAAACTGAAAGACTAGTTTACTACCTGACATACCGCAGTATGTTAAGCCCTGGGGGAAAACAATCTTAAATCCTGCCACTTCCACCTAAGAAACATTACCTAAAATAAATAATCTTTGAGTTTTCCTGACATAGAAAGGCCTTATACATGGCTTTGTCTTCTTGCGCCTGGACTACTGGGCATGCACTGTTTACATGCCTTATTAAATCTTCAGTGGCTCGGCTTCAGCTTGTGCAGAATGCCGCAGCTCGAATTTTAACAGCAATCGTAGGTCACATATAACTCCAATTCTTGCCTCCCTTCACTGGTTACCAGTTACGTTCAAGATGATTTTAAGATTGTTTTAATAACTTTTAAGGCCCCTTCAGGTGTTTGCCATAAGGGCCCACAGGCTCTAGAAATCTGAATATATCTTTACAGGAAAGCCTTTTGTGATGTCTGACTTGTAAATCTTGAAGATGATGCTGCGCTGTTTTATTTTCTTTTATTCACATATTTTAACTGTGTTACTTATATTTTTCTCATGTATTTAGCACTTTGTAACCTTGTTTAGAAAAGTGCTATACAAATAAAGTTCTTATTATTAAAAACAATACAACAATGAAATGGCAATATATTATTTTAGGTATAATTCCAATGTATATAACATTTATAGTATTTACAATCACTATCTAAGTTAAAATTATTAACTATCACTCCATGAACAACTATTTTGTAACTTAAATCTTGTTCTCCAACCTGATAGTTAAGAAAGCTGCTCAATATTTTTATAACAACAATGAACCATTACAACTTTATAACATGATGATGTCTGCTCCTTCTGCTGCCCATAGGTGGCAAAAATCCCACAAGAAAATAAAAAAACAGTGAATGTATACATAAGATCATCAAATGTGGACTTTGTGAATCTAATGTTGTTGTTTTTTGTACTCTGTAATTCTGTATTGATATTAAAAATCAAAGTGTGTGATGAAGTCATGCTTTCTTTTTTGCAATACTTTTATTGTTCACAAATACAACTTGTGACTATATGGTTTACTGTGTAGTTTTGAAATGTATCACTGCTTTAGGATGATAAAATAACTGAATTATTCATTGTCTTGGTCAACATACTGTTACACACAGTCAAATTCAAGTGGCTTGCATGTTAAACATGTTACATCAATGTAAAGAAAGAATTGTAGAAATATGTGTGTTTTAGCTATATGTGAAATCACTGTTCCTGTACATTGCCAAAATCAGAGCCCTCCTCTAAACATAGTTATCTATGCTTTTAAAATGTCATGTCTTGACTACTTTAATGCCAGCTCTGCTCATCTTAATTGCCAAAAACTCTGCTATTTCTATTGTTTTTGGCTTTTTCTTGATAACTTGATCTCATAATCTTCTAGCTTGCCTTGTTTTTAAACACAGTGTCTCTTTTATTTCCTGTTTTTCTTTTCTCCCATCTTTAAAGCACCTTTTTAAGTAAGCCTTTACATGCTACAAAATATATACTTTTCTCTCCTAATTGACACACAACAAAATCATTTATTTTGACAAAAGAGCACATTTCATTCAATATAACAGCTTTCGTACAGTTAATTGCATCAGTGAGCTGTTTAGTGTCATTAATAAGTCATTATAATAAAGATTTTGAATTTGTGGACATGGTATTTTGCCAGCAGAATTAATAAAAACGATGACTAAGCCACCAGTTATGAATCTCGTAGAGCATATTTCCATCAAAACCCCGCATCAGTGCACCTTGTACTTACCTACCCTCAGTCGCCCTCTTCCTCGGTGTTGCAGCAGATGGGGACATTTTTTCCTGAATTAACTAAACGTCATGCAGGTACGGAATGACGTCGAGGCTCCGCCCACCGCAGTACGTCCTGATCTGACGTTCAGAGGTTCAGGCAAGCGAGTCCACAGAATGTAAACATGGTGACAGATAACCGATAGATGAAAGAAACGCTACGATGGTCTTCGAAAGCTTGGTTGTAGATGTCCTGAACCGGTTTTTGGGGGACTACGTTGTCAACCTTGACAGCTCACAGCTAAAGCTCGGCATATGGGGAGGTAACTCAACTTGTGTTTGTCATTTTAGTGGACTGAGCTCGCTCGCCGAGGTGGCTAGCTAATGCTAACACACTTTAGCCACCGTTCGTGTGTGACCGACTCCCTCAGCTGTCTGTGTCACTTTATCCGTCCTAAAAATCCAGTTTAGCTGCCCAGTGTGAGCAAGATAGTGCAGCCAAATGCTCGTTTATGGATAGATCAATCAGAACTGTTCATTTCGGACTGCTACAATTACCCTGCGTTAACCAATCTTACTTGCTACTGAAAGGCTGTTTGCATACATTGCGAGTGTGAGAGAAGCGAGCAGTTCAGGGTCACACCCTTCCACAGAAGCCAGGTTATGACTCGCCACTGTGTTTCATGCTGAGTCCCTTTTACAAGCTGTACCGGAGAGTCTGACAGTCATAGGTCTGTACGGGCAAACCAGAGGATTATGAGAAGAATGAGAAGAGATGTTTAAGTGCCACTGCCAAACATGTACTAACTTGTAACAACTAACCTAATCACAGAGTGAATTCCTCCATTTTACCAAACCAGTCATGGATGGCTTTAATAATTGAATAACAATCATTATATCTGGCATTTTTCTATTTTATTTTGTTATTTAATGTGCATTTCTTTTTTCTTATCTGCTGTGTTTTATCTAGAGCTGCTGTAACGTGTGAATTTCCCCAGTGTGGGATCAATAAAGTCTATCTTATCTGAACATATGTGTCCCATTGTGTTGAGTCAATAGACAAATGCCAAAAGATCTTCTCTTTGGATTGGACTGTGTGCGAGCCTGAGCCTCACAGCACAATGTCGATCCATTTATTTAATCAGAGTGTGCGTAGTAACAATTAACAAGTGTTTCTGTCGTCACAGGTGACGCTATTTTAACAAACCTTGAAATAAAGGAGAATGCCCTGGTAAGTTGCAAATAAATGCGTAAGTCTGTGATTACATTTTAGCATTCATAATGAAATTTGTGTTTCAATAATTTACTGTTCTTTTGTTGCAGAGTCAACTTGATATTCCTTTCAAAGTCAGAGCCGGTCATATAGGTGAGATTGTTGCTACTGTTCCCATCTGCCACCTTATCTTTGGTACAGATGAAGGTTTTCTCACATCTCACTCTCTTCCTGTTAAAAGGACGGCTGGAGCTAAAGATACCATGGAAGAACCTCTACACCCAGTCCGTAGAGGCGACGCTGGATGGTGTCTATCTGCTCATAGTCCCCACAGCAAGTAAGATCTGTGTGCAGCTAAACACCTAAAAAATCATGAGACTTAAGTATTCATCATTGACATTATTGTGTAGTACTGTTTGTTCAGTAGTAGTTCAGTAGACATATACAATATTTGCAGGTTATTATCCTGCTGCTTGTCAATGTTAAGATGATTAGGCTCCTTATTTTACACGATTTAAAACATTTAACAACACATTAAAACATCTGCAATTTAATGATGCATTGTAGTGATAAAACAAATCCCAATAATCAGTCATATCAAGTTCAGTCAAATGAATATCCATTAGCCGGCATAACACAGTGTAGCACAGTCGTCAGACAAAGGAGGGCACTCACTTATTCATGACTCCGAAGTGCCTGTCAGGACAAACAGGAAACTCAAGCTTAACCTTCTTTATATTTCATTATTTTCACAGACGTTCAGACTAATAATCATTCATATTGACCCAATTCTTTCCAGGTATTAAGTATGATGCTGAAAAGGAGGAGAAGCAACTACAGGAGGCTCGTCAGAGGGAGCTACAGCGGATAGAAGAGACAAAGCTAAAGGCTGCTGAGCAAGGTCAGGGTTCAGCTTGGATTTTAAGGGGACTGTCTGTGTGTGTGTGTGTGAGAACATGTGTGAGTCTAGCAAATATATGTGTGAATAACAGGATAAAGTCAATAGGTTTCAGAGAGATTTCAAGCCAAGCTGTAAGAGAGAATGTGCAGGAGTAAACAGTGTTGGGTTGGGTAACCAGAAGGGTAGGAGAGAGACTAAAAACCATAGTTGTGTGGTGTAGATGCAGCAGCGTAGCAAGTACAGAGATTTGTAGCCATGTGGTTATGGTTTGTCTGCTTGTGAGTTCCTGTGTTGGTTTTGGAGTAGCCAGCCGTTTTTACACATTTTCTGTGGTTTAGCACTGTTGAGCCAGAATACACTGACCTGAGTTGTTGTTGCTTGTTGCCAACGTGTGTATCACACTTTTCTGCTGAATACTATATGAATAGAGCACCAGCTGACAGAAGTGTTAAACAGTGCTGTGTTTTCCAGAACAGCTCATTTTTAGACTATATTAACTATAGATATTCGATATAAAATCGATGTTCTTTGATATTGTACCCACGCATCTCTTTAAATACTATTTACTGTGCAAGTATAAAGACTACATCTTTCTTCAAAGCATTAACATTTTGATTGAACAAATTTAAATGAGTATTTCAGATAGGACTTAATGATATTTCAGCATCAGTATTGTAGTAGCATGTAGGTGC